CGAGGCGTGGCCAAAACAAAACCCGAGACTCTGGGTCTCGTTCTGTAGGCCGGCGAGGCACTGCCCGGCAACGGCGTCGCGTGATGGGCGCAATACGAAATCCCCTCACCCCACCTGTCGCTGACTGTGCACCTGACACGATCTCGAGCCAAGGCTGCGCTGCTGCTGCTGGGTCGAGATCTGGCGAGGCCCAAGGGGGCTGGGGTCGGAGTTCTTCATGCAGAGAACTTGTTGCGATGGAGACGGAATGGATTTGTTCCTGATGGCTCGTGTTCTCCGAAGAGTCACTCAAGACTGGGAAGCGAAAAGTCGAGTGTTGATCTAGAAACGTTTCGATTTTTCCCGGGGCCAGGAACGGGAATTTTGCTGGGTTGGGAAAGGGGTCGAAGGGGTTCTTGGCAGTGTCTGTTCTCGGTTCTCCTGTTTCAGGACCACGGGAATCTGGGATTGTGGATGTCGATTTGCTTTGCTTTTCCGAATTTTGGGTTGCTGGGTGTCTTGGATGGGTCCCGGAGAGGCTGACGGGTGCCAGCCGCCAATGTTTGCATAAAAAGGCTGGGCGCAGCAGCTGGCGTCGGCTGGCCATCCCCGTCCTCGTTTCCCCCTGCCAACCCATCATCCCAGCCGGCCCGACTCCGTGATGCTTCGGCGGGATCCAGGTCACAGCGCAGCGCGGGGAAGCAGACTGGGTTCGGATCACCAGCAGGGGCCGAGTGGTCGAGTTGCTGTGAAATCATGAGGTGGAACTCGAGATGCCGATGACACAAAGAACAGTTGAGATTGTCGTCTGGAGCTGGTTTGTTTCCCTCGACGATGGCATCACAGAAACCGCCAACCGCCCAACTGCCGGGTGCAGCGTCATGGTCACACGTGTAGCGCTGAATCTGGCTGAAGCAAAAATAGTTACACGAGCTGGTCTCTCCTTGCAGCATCTGGGGATACAGCATATCGATACTTGGTCTCGGGATCCGGCAGGCGATATCTCGTCTTATTACCAGGTCAGCGGTCCGCTGTCCACGCCATCGACGCCGAGTGACGAGGCGCAACGGTTCGTATTGCGCCTCGTTATTGGGCCGTGAGCGCATCGCGCCCAGCAGCGCCAAGTCCCAGCATCGCCATGTGATTGGGTGCCTGGCGGCGGCGGCTGCTCCCCTTTTGTTGAAATTCGGATTTGTGAAATTTCATGGGGCCAGGCTGCAGGTCTCGGCATCCCTGGGCGTCTCGGCGGCCCCAGAACGCCCCGGGTCAGGGGCTCAACACGAGCGGAACCAGGTCAGAAGGACCGCCCCTGGAGGATTGGGAGGGGGCAGGAGTTGATTGAAAGTGGTGATGGGACCCGGCACTGGAATTCAGATGGCTGCCCCAACCCCAAGGCTGTTGGCTCTAAGCCCGTCGAGGTTGACTTCCGCAAGGGCGCCAACTCCTTCTTCAAGCCCGCCGACGGCACCACCCTCAAGTACGATAACGATCTCGGCGCCATCTTCTCCATCAGCAAGGAGACCGACGCCCCTACTATTGGTAGCAAGCAGTACATCTTCTTCGGCCAGGTCGACGTGACCGTCCGCGCCGCCCGCGGCGTCGGCATCGTCACTAGCTTCGTGCTGCAGTCCGATGACCTCGACGAGATCGACTGGGAGTGGCTCGGCGCCGATAACGCGCAGGTCCAGACCAACTTCTTCAGCAAGGGCTGCACCGAGACGTACGACCGCGGCGGCTTCTCACCTGTGGCCGACCCCGTCAACGTCTTCCACACCTACACCATCAAGTGGACGCCCACCCAGCTCGACTGGATCATCGACGGCACCGTCGTGCGCACCCTCATGAACACTGGCGCCGCCGGCTGCGCCGGCTACCCCCAGACCCCCATGCAGATCAAGCTCGGAACCTGGGTTGCCGGCCGCAAGGACGCGCCGCAGGGCACCATCGAGTGGGCCGGCGGCATCACCAACTTCGCCGACATCCCCTTTGACGGCTACTACCAAAGCCTGCGCATCGTCGACTACATGGGCGGGCAGGGCGCCACTGAGGCCACTGAGTACCAGTACACGGACCGCTCCGGCACGTGGCAGAGCATCAAGGTCGTCAACGACGGCTCCGAGTCCAAGCCCAGCACCACCAGCAAGGCCGTCTCGTCCTCCACCACTGTCAAGTCCACCTCGTCGCCCGCCTCTATGTGATTACACTAGCTGTTGACGCCTAGCGCGATTCGTTGGGCTGGGTTGGGTTAGATTTGGTTGGGTGTTCTTGGTTGGTTGGCTCGGATCCGGATCACCAGGCTGCTTTCCTCCTTTTTGCGTCTCGAATTTTCCCTGCGTGTTTGTTTGCCTTTTGCCTTCCTGCAGAACCAAGCAAGCAAACATGCCAGCGCGTGGACAACCCCTTTTTGTTATATTCTATACCACAATGCTACCTACCTAACGTACCTATTGTTTTTTTAATTTCACTGGTTGCGCCGGAGAGAAGATGGAACAGGACAACAACAACAACAACAACAACAACAACAACAACAACAACAACAACAACAACAACAACAGCGCAACTACGGCTATACATACCCTTCGCATCGCGTGATAGACTAGAACAGCAGAACTGAACAGAGCGTGTGGATTTGTCTTCTTTCTTCGCTTGATGATTTGATCCTGGTGATTGCCGTGGCTTAGATGGGGAGGGAGACGAGGTGAGCGATTTTTGAAGGTGTTAAGAGTTTTGCATTGGGGATGCGATATCGAGTCTGAAGAATGGGTTCGAGAAATGGGGAACGTAGATGGATGACGTTGAATTTGGGAAGAAGTTTAGCGTTATTGACATCTTCAGCTGACTCCTATTTTTTGAGCCCAAGGAAATTTCGTGCCTGTCTTGACTGGACGCTTTTTGGTGTTGCTTAATATGTCCCTTGTCTATGTTAGCTGATGATCTTGCTTGAGGTCCGGTGGGGCTAACGGCAGGGTGGTGATATTGTGATAGACCCGTCAAACCGACGTGATAGATAATTATGAAGGATATTGATCGTCCTGTGGAGACTTACAAAAGTTTGTTTCGAGGTGATATCATCGCTGTCAATCGGTGTAACTCGCGGCATGTGGGAGATGCGTGGTGATGTTGTGGACCGTGGGGGAGGGATGTGCGTTTCCGGTGCTGTGAAACAAGGGTCGCAGCAGACCACGTGGAACTTGATGACGTGACGGGGGAATCGGCTGCTGGACCCTGTGTATGGATGGGCTTGAGAGGGGGGGGTGTGAGGGTGAGAAAGGGGAGTGAATGAAGGGCGTAGGATGTCGTGGTGGAGGTGAGGGGAGGGTGTGTAAGAAGATAAAAGGGCTCGCGAAGGGCACAAGGAAGAATGCAGGGAGCTTGGTTGCTGGATTTGACTATTCAAGGTCAACATGGAGGCTAGGGTGCCGCAGAAGAAATTGGATAAGCTCTATGTCTTGTTGGTCTCAAGTCTCAAACACCTGAGTGGTAAGAAGCAGAACTTATTTGCTTCTTATTTGATTTTGGATCCACCTTTGTGTAATGAACCGAAACGTTGTGATAACCAAGTGTATCCAATTTTTAAGGCACTATCTAAAGCTCATGCCCAGGGTCCAACCTAGCCACGACCACTCAACCCGAGCGGAAAACCCAATTTTTAAATCAAGTCCAGTAATTTCCCTCCCATCGCCCAATATCGCTATCCCATTCCGTCAGTTTTCCATTGCCCATTCCCATCAATGTTCCTCCACCCCATCCGTCACAGCCCATCCCCTTCTACCTCTCAAACCCCCATCCTCTCCCATCTTCCCAATAACTGGCTCCAACAGCACAGGCAACAGTTCCGCTGCATCCCCGCAAACGCAAAATGTGAAGGGTGCGGAGTTGGGGGTGGGGTGGTTCGCGCGGGGAGAGGTCTGGGGTGGGTTAGTGGGGAAGGTGTGGGAAGGGGTGGGGAAAGGGGTGGGGGAAGCGGGGGAGGGGACGAACGGTCGACGTTTTGGGTCAGGCAGAGGAATTCTGGGTTGCGCCGCGCGAGGGCAGCGAGGGCGTAGTGTGCTGGGTTGGGCTTGGCTTGGAGAGCCATGTGTCGGCGCTGGTGTTCCATGTTAGTCTCATTGTGTCTCAAGACGAGTGTTCAGTCGTTTTAAGGAGTAACCCACATAAGCGTAAAACATCCACACGAGCCCCGGGTCCGCCTCGAAAGCCTCGGTGCTGGCTAACATCGGGGCCTCGTAGTTTCTCCACAGGCCGCCGGCGCCACGGAAGGTGGGCAGGCCGGAGGCGGCCGAGAGCCCGGCCCCGCACACGGCGAGGATCCGCCGGCTCTGGGCGAGCTTCGCGTGGAAGGCCGGGATGCTGTTGTAGTCCGGGCTCGGCGTCATGTTGGTGGATTTGAATGCTTGTTTGGAGAAGAAGGTCCTGGCGGACTGGGTGATGAATTTATGAGAGTTGCTGCGCATGGAGGGTGGAATATGGTTGTTTTAAAGTGAGGGGTGCTCTCATCAACTTCCAGTGACACAGCCCTGCAGAAATCAGGACCCCCAGGCAGCTATACAGAGCGCTCCACTTTTCCCATCCGCAGGATTCAATGAGACGGAGCCGCCAAGGCCAGGCGCCAGAGTCATCACAGCAGAGAAAGTTGAGGGTGTGTGATTCGCTTGTCTCTTGAACAATGACTCGAATGTCTGAAGCCGCCAGGAGGACGGGAGGTCAGATTGGTAATCGGCGGTCTCGACCAAGGAAACGCGAGACCCAAACGGAAGGGAGAGACAAATTAAGGTTTGAACTATCGAGGCAGGAGAAGATTGACTACCTAGGTGATGATAGCCAACTTGGTTTGGCACAAACCAGAGCTTCAATAATTGAATCATTGAAAGTGATTGGGTAGATTATCAACATATCAAAGGGTAGTCGAGTGGAGCCTCTGAGCGCTGGGACTGATGAAGGACTGGGCTTTGGTGGCTGTGGTCTGGCCAAACTCTAATACCTTCTTGAGGCAGCAACTCGATCTCAGTCTCCTAATCTAAGCCGGGCTGGCGCAATGGTAGCGCGTGTGACTTCTAATCACAAGGCTGCGGGTTCGAGTCCCGCGTCTGGTACGATTTCTTTTTGCCTCCAGCAGGAATGTTGGGAGGCTGGCCGTCGCTCCCCGCCTTTCGGCAGTCGCAGGCACCTTTGCGACTTCCAGAGCGTCGCAGACACCATCCGCAGCATCCAGGCCGAAGTTGACATTTGCCCGACAACCCACACGACCCAGGACGCCCGGCCCAGGCCATCGCTGCCCAAAATGTCGACGCAACAACAAGCCATGATCATGGAGACCATCTTCGGCCTCAAGAGGAGCCAGAAACGCAGGTCCTACGGTCAGTGTTTTTGCCGTTGGATTGCCCTCTTTTTGGTGTTTAGCTGACGTTTTGCTCGCAGAATCCGACTCCGACTCGTCGATAGACCACAGTACGAATCGCGGCAACAAGTTGAAGAAGCGAGCCAGATTTGTCCGCCAGGGTCGACTGACGTCTTCGATGGGCCCGGCTGCTTACAAGGAGGTGTGTGCCGACGACAAGACTAGTTCCGGGCCAGCCAGCAGGGACTGACAAGGAGCAGGTCGAAGAGCTATCTGGATACCAACGAGCAATCATCAACCGCAACCCGCCATTAATCGATGAAGAAGGCTACGACATTGAGAGCGATGACGACGAGGAGCAGGTCCAGGAGGCTGTGGCCTCGGCCATGGAGGACAACCCTTATTCGTCCATCCGGATAGAACGTAGGTCTTATCGCTGTTCTTCTAAAAGATGTGGGCTGTCGTTATTGACCTTGGTACAGAGATACTGGCACCCTTAACCTCCGTTACCGACATCCCATCGCACCCAACCTTCTCACGAGCGTTTACCTCGAACGCGCTCAACGAACTGATCGAGCAAGGGCGGGTCTTGATGCAAAAGGAGAACAAGGCGCTATGGAAGGCCAAGCCCCTCCTCACCAAGCTCGTTGGCGACAACACATGGGCCCCCTGCGGGCTCATGACAGCACCCGACGACCGCGACGCAGCACTCTTTACCGACACCGTTAGCTTCTTTAATCGCCCGACGCACGAGATAACTCTAGCAGCACCATCAGAATCATCAGCAGCGCCCAAAATAAATGGAGGCCACATAAATCAAGAGCTGGTTACGGGGTTGGCTCAAGCATTGGATAGGCCTGGGGCCCAACCAGCAGCACCACTGGGCGGCGGCACGGAGCAAGATAGGGCTACTACGAACGGGCGCGATGGGGAAACGCTACTTGATGCGCACGCCAATACGAATGGCGAACGAGGCCCCAGTGCCACGGAAAACGGCGAGCAGGAGCCACGAGTCAACGGCAATCCGCGTCACAGCGAAGACAAGGACGGCGCGGTAGACGGTCCTTCAAGCAACGCAAACGCCACCGGCGACCGAGACATTGAGATGGCGGAAGCGCCCCGCGACCAACCCAACACAACCGAAGGCCGGAACACCCCAATACCCCCTCCATCCCTATCCTCCCTCCCCAGTCTACACACTCTCCTCGCCAGCCCCGACACGTTCGACGAACGGTTGGTGGCGCTCGGAGTTACGCGGCGTTTGGCGGAGGGCGTCTAGGGAAATGATTTTGCCTGTTTATTGTTCGGTAATTTGTTTGCTGTCGTGAGGCTTCCGACGGGAATTCAGCCTGTGTTTCGAAACATGGAATCTGGCGATTGAACTGCCCAAAACGGACCAAGCATGTGAATGTCGGAGACCGAGCGTAAGAACGAAATAAAATCCGCAAACCTAACCGACCAAGTTTGTATGGTGTTCACTTCACGCCTTCACGGCTTCTCTGGCACACCAAAACGAAAACTGCGAAACCACAGAGTCACGATGCCACGCTGTCGGCCCGCGTCTCGGACTCGCCAAGCACCGTCCAACCATGCAAGCTGACCCGGGACACACTTGCTCGGCAGGCAAGTGTGTGCTTTCTTTTTTTGTGCATGCGTGTGGATCGTGATTGGGGAGTGTGAAAGGGCGCGCTAGCATGAGTTGGGCAACAATGTCGAGAGGACTTAAAGGGGTGCTTGTGACGTCGGAAGTGAAAGGGCATGTGGCTCGTTCATCATTCATCGTTTTCTCACTCGTCGCTCTTCTGTCGACGTCTAGCTGTTGTCGTCGTCATCGTTGCCGTTGTTGGTGTCGGTGTCGTCTGATGTCGGTTGTTGAGTGGGTTTATTATTATATCGACTCTTTGCCACGTTCGCAGCTGGGCTTTGATCTGGTCGACGAGTTTCAGCTGCAGCAATCGAAAATAACCCCAGGACGGCCTGTTTGCCCGATCTGGACTGCAACCACGAAAGGAGACGCGCATAGCCGTCAAAACACGCCACTGAAATACCAACAAAGGTTGCTTCTCAGCGTTTGATATATCCGTAACTCCGAACAACTCTTCCTGATCATTCTCTCCCTCTGCCTCTCCGTCTTCCTCGTGGCCCTCGACCAGACCATCATTGCGCCCGCGCTCGGCGCCATCACCAACGAGTTCCACTCCGTCAAAGACATCGGCTGGTACGGCGCCGCCTACCTTCTCACCACAACCGCGCTGCAGCCCTCGTATGGGTCCATCTACCGCATGTTCAGCGTGAAGTGGACATACTTGGCGGCGGTTTTCCTGTTTGAGGTGGGGAGTCTGGTGTGTGCGGTCGCGCCGACGAGCACGGCGTTTATTGTGGGCAGGGCGTTAGCGGGCGTGGGGACGGCGGGGTTGTTTTCGGGAGGCGTGGTGATTTTGAGTTATACGCTGCCGTTGAGGCAGAGGCCGATGGCGTTTGGGTTGATTGGGGCTATGTGGGGGATTGCGAGCGTGGCAGGGCCATTGTTGGGGGGTGCGTTTACCGATCATGTTACATGGAGGTGGTGCTTTTATATCAATTTGCCGATTGGGGGGGCGGCGATGTTGTCGATTTTCTTGTTTTTGCATGTTGCGCAGAAGAAGGAGGAGGGGAAGACGGTGGTGCAGAGGATTTTGAGCTTGGATTTGTTGGGGACGTTCTTTATGGTGCCGAGTGTGGTGTGTCTGTTGTTGGCGCTGCAGTGGGGAGGGACGGAGCATGCGTGGAAGAGCTCGGTGATTATTGGGTTGTTTGTTGGGTTTGTGTTGATGATGGGGATCTTCATTGGGATTCAGATCTGGAAGGGGGATAAGGGCACGCTGCCGCCGCGGTTGTTCAAGAACCGTGATGTGGTGTGTGCGATGTTGTTCGCCTTTTTCTTTGGCGCGTCGTTCTTCCCGCTGGTGTACTACCTGTGTAAGTGGTTGGGACTGTGGAACTGGAAAACGTAAAACTAACGACGGACAGCCCTCTACTTCCAAGCCATCCAGGGCGACACCGCCGTCCAGGCCGGCATCAAGCTCCTCCCGATGCTGATCGCCGTCGTAATCACCTCAGTCGGCTCGGGCGGTCTCATCACCGTCGTCGGGTACTACAACCCCTTTGTCCTCCCCGCCATGGTCCTCTTCACCGTCGGCTCGGGCTTAATCACAACCTTCTCCCTCAACAGCCCACTCCGCGTCTGGTTTGGCTACCAGGTCATTGCCGGTTCGTCCCCACCCCCCGCGTTTTTTTGTATCCCTTCCCCCACTAACCCCCGCCCTTCCAGGTCTCGGTATCGGCGTCGGCTTCCAAACAGGCGTCCTCGTCGTGCAAAACAACCTCCCGCACGAATGGATTCCCAAGCCACCGCCTGTGTGCAATTCTTTCAAGCCCTCGGCGGCGCCATCTTCATCGCCGTCGCCCAAGCCGTCTTCCAGAACGGGTTGACGGAGGGCATCGAGAAGGAAGCCCCCGGCCTGCCGCCGCAGATCTTCCTCGTTCGCGGCGCGTCTGAGATCCCGCAGGTGCTCAAGGAGCTGCACGCTGAGGATTCGTTGACGGGGGTGTTGACGGCGTATTTACAGGGGTTGAGGTATTCGTTTTTTATCACGGTGGCGTGTGCCGCGGCCGCGTTCGTTGCTGCGTGTGGGCTGAGTTGGAAGAAGATTCAGAAGGGGAAGGCGCCGGTTGCAGAGGGGCTGGGAAGGAGGAAGAGGGGGCGGTTGAGAAGGTGGTGGAGGAGGAGGAGGAGAAAAAGGATGCGGGGAGTGTTAAGGCTTAATAATAGAGTGGAGTTGAGGATAGATGATTACTGGCGCTGTGAATTGGGAAAGAGTAGAGATCTAGAAGGGAAATCTTTGAAGGAAAAGAAAAGGCGGCCAATGGTTCGAGGGCACGGAAGAGGTGCGCAAGCGGATGTATACCCAACTCTTTGGTTTTAGCCATATACCCATAAAAGCGTAATTTGGAGACAGTGTAATGTACAATGTGGTTTTACCAGGTGACTCCTGTCATCTCTCATACTGGCTTGAGAAGTCCCAACCCAAAACCATGCTAAGCTCAGCTAGCCACCAGCCCAAAAATACACGCATGGCCACACTAACATACATCTACCTCCATCCATATTCATCTGCTCCCCGACTCGCCCGTCCCACGGCGCTCCCTCTCCAGCATGGCATCAAACTCTTTCTGCGCTTGCTCCTTGGCGTACGCCTTGTCCTGCTCGGTCGAGGAGAAGGTGTAGTCTGAGGTCTGCTGGCCCTGGCCGTCCTGCTGAGGTGCAGCGCCACCCTGGGGCCTCCACTGACGGCCCTCTTCCGCCTTGGAGGTCTGTCTGAGTCTGTCCCAGGCCGAACCCGGGCCGGTGGTGCCACGCTGCGGCTGCTGCTGGGTCTGCTGCTGAGCGGGTGCGACGGGCGAGGCGTCATCGAAGAGGAACGAGTCGTCGTCCTGGGGCGGGGTCTGCGTCTGCGGTGCTGGTTGCGTCCATCGCGTCGGCTGTTGGGGTGATTGTTGTTGTTGTTGTTGTTGTTGTTGCAGTCGCGGCTGCTCTGGGCTGTCCTGGAAGTTCTCAGTGGGATAAGGCTGGGCTCCGGCCGGGTCCTGCGGGCTCGGTGGCTGGGAAACCGGCGGTTGAGGCGGCAGGCCGCGCTTCTCCTGAAACCTTTCACGCCGTTCTTCGCGTTTGCGTCCGATGAGGTTAGACATTTCCTGAAGCCGTTCATCCCGTGC